ATGTATTGGACTCTGTCGGGTATTCTATTCCATTCCAGAAAAACGCCAGCCTCTGTATTTTATTCATTAATTTTCCCAATATTAAATGTTTTTTTCCTCTAGTATGTTTGCTGAGGTCCAACTAGAAGTTCGAAAATTTGATTCTTCGAATTACGTAGTTACTATTTAGCTTCATCAAGGTGATGTTTGGATTTGCAGCACTATAACAGTGATGACTTCACTGGTGGCTCTATCATTTTATGGTGCCAGCCAGCTCAAATTCCATTGGGTAGAACGGTACGACAAACTTCTAGTGGGATCGGTTCTATGCTTGGTGGGAATTCTAACCCTCATTTTTCACGATCACAATCACAATCATATCGGAGAGGGAGTTTCTGCCGGAGAGCATTTACATAGAAAAATCATAACTCTCTGAAAATTGCTCTACTATCCTACGAAGTGTTTATATATATATATATATATATAGATAGTTATTCTGAAAGAAAAATTGTTCACTTGAACCAACTAGGCCTACTAGTGAACTTTTTGTTCACTGCACCAAATGTGTATTTCCATTGTTTTCTCCTACTATTCATTCTGATGTATTGTGAGTGCAGTTGTAATTCAATGTAAAATTGCCTTAAAGCAGGTGAGGAGCAGCTTCTTTCTGGTATTGGTTAGCTTGATTAACTCGTAATGTTATTGCGTACAAGAACGCAGGAGCTAACATCGCGAACACGAGCACAGCAGTAAGTTCAGACTTTTTCTTTTGAAGCATAACACAGGGAGTAACAATTGGTAATGATCTTGTTTCGCCTGTTCAAAATCTTAAAAATTAAGCTTTGACTAATTATAGTTAAAAATTATAGCAAGTGTATGTATATGCTTATTCATATAAGAAATAAACTATTCAAATTGGAACGAATGACTATTTATTTATTGTATTTTTATATAAATAAATGCATAAAGTTTTATGAAAAAACCGTGGTTCAATTCGAAGTCGTATAATAAACTCTAAATATTTGATATCTTTTTATTTGAACGAGATATCAATTTCAGTGACGTTTTTATTAGATATTTTTATTATTAAAATATTTTTTTTCTGATCAAATTTTTTTACTATCCCGGATTCTAATTATATTCAGATATAATATAATTTTTAATTTAAATTTTTTTTATAATTATTTTAAAATTACAAATAAATTAAAAAATATATAGAATTTAAAAATACGTTAAATAAAATAAATTTAATAATTATTTAATTATTATAAACGAACTTGAACATTATCTTTTAAAAGGCAAAATTTATTTTAATAAATCTAAGCCAAAATTTATAATTAAATTTTTATTACAAATTTATAATTAAAATTTTCAAAATTCAATTTCAACCAACACAAATATTTTATATTTTTAAAATAATAATAATTTCTATAATTATTTATATAGAATATTAATTAATTTTTAACTAAAATTATTTTTAATTAATAATTATTTTAACAGTTTTTTTTTTTTTTTTAAAAATTTACTGCTCGATTTTAGATCAAAGAGGCGGACTGGCAATTCTTAGGGGATATAAATACGCCAACTTTGTTCCTCTGTGATACTTCCCGCCAAACTCTATTTTCCCTCGCGAATTTTCCGGCGTTACAAGCACTATGCTTCCTATGCATATAACCGCAAAATCCTTTTCCTCGCGTATTGACAGATAGTCTATGAGAAGCTGGTGCCTTTGGCAGTCGTCTGAAGATGGCAGTGTTGAGCTGGAAGCACCATACGTTGATTCAAGCGTTGATAGCACGAGGTCCTCTCAAGGAGAAGGAATTCCACTCCATTTTCACTGGCGTCACAGGGAAAAACCCAGGTTTTCTTGCTATTTCTGTTAGTTTGTGGTTTCGATTTCCAGTGCTATTTCCTTTTGTTTTCCTGGAAAAATTGTGATCCGACCTCGGGGTTTTGTTCACAAGAATCGATAAAATGAGCAGTTTTAGGTCCCGATGTTGGGCTGGGGGATATGCTTTGCGTGATTAAGTTGACTTCTTCATGATTATGGTTCCTCTTTTCCAAATGTCTGTTTTAGGGTTTAAATCTTGAATATGCTATAGAACAGATTTACTTTTGTTGTGATGCTTCGGAGAATTTGTAGGGGTTTAGTTTTTAGTATAAAACCGGTTTTATAGGTGACTTTCGTATGGAATTTGATTATCGTGTTCTTCATTTTTTAAGATTCGTAAGATTAACTAGCGGATCAATGCAAATGAGATGCCAAGAATTGTTTGTTATTAGATTTATGTATGTTAAACTGCTCCTAATGTTGGATTGCAAATGAGATGCTTCATTGTTTTGCTTTTCCGTCAACCAAGATTGCTGGCATTTGCTTTACCTTTGATTATAGTTTAGTGAGGGAAACAAGGGACATTAGAGATCATAGAGGCACAACATAGATATCCATTTTGGAACAGAAATTATGTTTATTTTTATAGTCAAAGTATTTGATTATCTAAATCCATGGGTGGAAATGGGTCGGCAGTGCCCTGTTAAGGGTAGGCGTTCTGAGCGTGCGTATGTGTGTATGTATATTTGTGTTAGGGTTTAAAGAGCATTGTTATGGTGTACAAGAGGTGTGCGATTACCTCATTTCAGTAGAGGTATAAAAGCGTCACTTTCATATTTTGAACTATCTAGAATAATAGCTAATGAAACTCTATTAGGGTTTTCTCTCAAATCTGCCGACTCTATCTTGCTCTCCCTGTATTCACTCTTTGTTTTTCTTTGCAGATTATCACAGACCTACTATCTTAGTTGTTCTATAGCAAATTGTTGCATTTATGGCCTTTCAGGGTTGAGCATGGAAAATTCTTCATTTTGATGTTTGCTTGTCTAAGTCATAAATTAGGTTGAGTTGGGATGTAGGCCCTGATGATTGTGATCAGGGAACTGTGAGCTTTATTTTGTTTATTTATGATGATATTAAGCTTGACGCAGGTAATAATAAACAACTATTCGATGAGTATCTCCTTGCAATAAACAAGGAACTTTCCTATGTCCATTTTGAGCTACGAGCCTGCAGAGATCAATATGATGGCCAAGTTTGTTATGGAGTGGTCAATAATATCGCTGATGAACAATCCAAGCTTGGAACAAAATATTCAGTTCCACAGATTGCATTCTACAAGGGAATTGTAAGTCCCAATGTTTGAATTTTGGTAATCATGAAGCCTTGTTATTTTCATAAGTTTTTATCTCCGTTCTCTGTGCTTGATTGATGTAACATGTGATCATTACTTTTAAACTTGAAACTTAGAAGAGCATGCGACTGCATCTTTCGCTCTTGATATTTATTTCATTAGGCAATGATGCTTTTAAGAATTCTCTTATAAGTTCAACAAAATTTATTGTCCTGGTGCTTACTTTTTTCAGCTCATGAGATTCGTGATATTTGGTATGGAACAAGCAATGAATCAGAATTATTACTTACCTAGATAAGCAATCTGTATGTTGCATAATCATGAGGTGGCTTTTGACTCTGAACTGATGATATTCGAATTAAGATGTATCTCATGCACTGAAACTCTTAAGACTTGTGTTTGTTTCTTTGTATTAATAGCTGATTATAAAAGTGATCCTGTGCATTTTTGTTTAGAATTAGATTGGTTTTACTGATTCAGGCATGCAATTTGAGATAGGACCTGGCCTTCCCATTTTCATTCTTAAGTTTAGGAGGTAGGTGAGGTCAATTTCTTTCCTTGATTTATTGATTATGAATCCAAGAATATTTTCCAAAAGGATGCATCGACTTCATATTCCTGCCATCCCTACCCACCTGACGTCTGTTCACAAGCTCATCGATGCTGGGTGTTAGAGCACCCTGGATGTCAACACAATTGTAAAACTTGTACCAATTGAAGTAGCCACATAATGAAATCCGTGCTGGACAAGAGTGAAGAATGAATTTCTCTTTTTCTAATTAATCTTTCTCTTTACTGATTGACAAATCTTATTTGTGGTCCTTTTGCATATGCTGCTCTTTTGCTTCAATGTCTGTGGAAGCACTAATGATTGCTTCCTTATGTTTTCTAGCGAAGAGACTTTAATTATCAATGAGGATCCGGGGACTTTTCTTGTCTTTCTGGAATAGGGATATCCTCTAATTATTAACAATATAACAATGAAATGCGGAAAAAGTACTCTAGATTTTCTGATGTGCCACATTATATATGATAACTTATGGAAGCACATTACCTATTTTCTCTTCCACTTGGTGCAAATATGCAACTTAATTTTATTATTGTTCAAATATTTGCTTTCAGATGATCGTTGCAGGGCCTTTGGATGTTTGTTAGACTTGGAGGAAGTGGATAAAGGGGCAGAATAAGAGTTCTAAACAAAATTCAAATATCTTCCTGTGCAAGACTTTCTTAGGATGTAGAACAACAGAATAAGGTTTGAAAGAAATAGAGAAGAGGAAAAAATTCAATCCACAATCATAAAAATTGGTAATTTCCTGCTGACGAAACAACCACCAGAATCATAAGGCTGGCAAAACTCGCAACCAATAAATTTCAACAGTGAAGAATCACTCATAAATTTCTAGGATGTCTACTTAACCTAATATTTCTCAGATATTAGAATAGGAAATTAATAACAGAATAGGATCCTTACATAAAAGAACTAAAATTGTAATAGCACTATACTAGTAGTTCTTCTAGTTGTAATGCTGTACTAGTATTGATTTAGAAAACTCTGCTATATGGTCCCACATCATTTTCTTCTTTCGTTCACTCTATATTGATCAGTCTTTCAAAATATTATGCATTAGAGGAAAAATTTCCTATTTGTTTGTAATTTATTCACTACTGCATTTTTGGGAATCAGATACTCAAAAGCAGTACGGTGACATTTAATTTCGGTTTCTTAATGTTTCCTACACTATTTGAAATAGTAAATACACTCCATTTAGAACCTTCATTTTCCTTTTCGTGTAATGATTTTTGTATGGTAACTAGACAATCAGGGCGTACTTCTGTTCATGCATGCTTATGTGCACGCACACACTTGAATATATTGATATGGAAGTTTGTGTCTGGAATGCTTGTGCTCAGTTTATATTTGCTAGAAAATGTCATCTTATAACCCATCTAACATATCTTCTGTTCTTATCAAATTTCCTTGATTCCAAATATCAGATTGAAGCAATTGCACAAGATGTTACAGCGCAGGGTACCATATCCAACATTGAGGCTCTTAATATTCGACTGGAGACCCAGGTTTGACAACTTTTCCTCGTTAGTAATACATCTATTTGCTAGCATCGGATGAAATAACTGTTCCCCCCAAACTCTTGCATGTATTGTACATGTAGAACCAATATGAACTACGAATTTATGGAGTATTAGTTATTTCAACATACAAGACATAGTCATGCTTTTATAGGTTTTTCCTAATAAGTTCCTTTATCTTGCTCTTTTGCAAAGGCACAATGCAGAGACCAGTGCTTTCAGCCTACCTTAGTAGAACCAAGTTGACTGAAAGAAATGATGTTGGTCAATAAGAAAATTTGAGAGAATAAAGGAAATTGAGTTGATTCTTTCTGGTCTCATGATTTTAATTATTTTATTTAACTGATTATGAGTTATTTCCACATACAAGACATAGTCATGCTTTTGTAGGTTTTTCCTAATAAGTTCCTTATCTTGCTCTGTTGCAAAGCACCATGCAGAAAACTAGTAATTTCACCCTACCTTATAGGATTAAGTTGACCGAAAGAAATGATGTTGGTCAATAAGAGAAATTTTGAGAGAATAAAGGAAAATGAGTTGATTATTTCCTGTCTCATGATTTTAACAAGTTATTTTAGTTTTGATTTTTTTGACAAAAGTTAATTGGTAAGGTCATCAAGGGCCTAAAAACTAATTAGCTTTTCTTGATTTCCACAAACTACTGGTATGTCAGAATCTCTTTTGGGTACTCTTTTCTAAGAATAAGTTATTTTTGAACATTCATCATGCTCCTGACCATCTTTATATAATAATTTTTATTGCTTGAATTGATATCCTGAGGGGCTCCGATCCATCTGATCATACAATGTCTGAGCCTCCGTATAAGGTATACATGAAATCAGTTAACTGGTTTGATCCAGTTTATTTTTTTTCCCAGAATGAAGATTGCATTTTTTTACTCTCCATTATATTATTTTAGTTAGGCAAGTTTCTCTTCATCTTGATATATTTTCTTTGAACTCTGTCCATGCCATTCAATAATGCTTGCATCTTTTATTCTATCATGCATGTTTAACAATTCATGTAGTCTTTTTCAGATGTTGAATGGGTCTGAAGCACAATCAGAGAGTAATCCACCTGATATCCCCCTTGCTCTCAGGAATTTCACAATGTGTCAGAAGGAGAAAACTCTTGATGAGCTGATACAAGATAAATGGCTTTGTAGCACCACGGACCATAAGATTGGACTTGGTACCAGATCCCTCCTTGATCTGCGAAGTTGGTTCAGGAATGCTGATGTTCCTTCATGTCAAGTATGCAATGAAGCTGGAATAAAGGTTTCATCCAATGGCTTCTTTCTTACTATTGTCACTGCCTTAATTATTTCATAGTCATTTTACAGTTCAAAACTCCAAGTTTTAGTTGACTGCTCCATGTTGAGATTTCAATGTAGAGCATATGCCTTTGTCGAACCACATAACAAGGAAGCTGGAATATTCAGCTTTTGACTTCTCAATTGTTCTAACTGAAAGAACGGAATACAGCCTGCTTCTGTCAAATCTGATAATTTGTAGTGATCACATGTGACAGGCAGAATTATGCTCAAGTGAAAGTTGTATGGTTCGGATTCATCAATATTGCCTTAGAAAGATGATTTCTCGAAAGGTATTAACCTTGATGTGCATCTTTTCAGTAATACATTTATCAATCACCTTGCCATGGGTTATAATTCTTATAATGTAACGAGTTTCAGACCAGAGAGAAAGTTTGCCCAGGTTGCGGCAATCAGTGGCCATATCAGGCACCCAAAAGAGAAGCTATAGAAGAAGTCGGACCTAGTGAGCCTTCCCAGAGCCAGCTAGCTGCAGGATGCAGACGCAATGAAGGAAGTGAAGGATCCAAGAAGAAGAAGTCTAAAATGAGTAGACCTAGTCATACAGATACGAACAGAACCATCTCTCAACCTTCTCAGACTACCTGTCTTTCTTCCGATTCAAGAAGAGTAACTCGGAGTTCCTCGGGCTTGAGGTAAATACTTACTACTACTGTTATTATTATGGTACGTGCATGTTTTAGAGAGGTGTATAATCTGATGATGGTGTATATTTTGCAAGCTTTTGTTTTGAAATAATATTATAGCTATTATCATACTTCCTACCATCCTAATCAGTTAAATATCCATCTTATTTTAAGAAAAATTTGTCGTCCGTACTCATTGCAGATCTTTAAAAAAAAATCACGAGTGTTTATTTTATTTTATATGATTCTAAATTTTAGAGTATCTATCTCGTCCTATTTAAAAGTATCGAGTAAATATGATTATAGTATGTTAAATATTTACTTATATTTTGTTATTATTTTAATTAGTTATTATCGTTTCGTAATAAATAATAGTTAAGATAATAAAAAATGATAGTTGATATGACAACAAATATAGTCAAATACTAATTAAACATGGTAAAACATTATGAAATTTTACTACCTCTAAAGCTAGAATCTTGCAAAATATTGTTAGCTCTAACTAGAGGCTCTATTCTCTCTCTATCTCTCTCTCAGTATATATATATGTGTGTGTAGGTATATATATATATATATGCATATAACAAAAGGAGTGTTATTCTTATGCTTCACACGTATAGTGTGGTGTATTTTGTGATAATGCCATTTCTGCAACTTTAAAGATAAGGATAATTTTGTAAAGGGCATAACTTTATAATACAATAAGTATTTTGTATATATATAAATACATAGTGTCAAACTAGGCATTGTAGACTTTATTATATAGATTAAAAGAAGTACAAAATGAACCTAACACCTACCTTTGATCACAATGATGGTGTTCCCTCTTTGAATTCTAAAGCATCAAACTATTGATAGCTTAAAAGGCTTTATGTTGCTTTTTTTGCCCTAAAATTGGGTAAATCATATGTTCATACATTTTGATTTGAGATTTCTAAATTTGATATATGTTTATTTTAGACAACACTTATGGTATAATTGTTAGTGAAATAATCTAATACGGATTAGTTTAAATATATGAATATTTTGATTTTTTTGTTTTTTTTGAAAAACTTGATAATTGAATTATTCATGTTAGATTTTCTACTATTGAACAATTAAAAGAATTAGTAAGATTTAAAATATAAAGAATGATAAAATCTAGATGGTATAATACAAATTTTTTGATTTTCATTTTCTAAAATATAGTTTAAGTTGTAGGTGTATATATATATATATATATACATGCATTTATACATTATACATTTAGCATATTAGAGGGAAGGGGAATAGTTTAGTCCAAAGAATACAATTTAAGTTGTACGTATATATGTACATGCATTTACACATTATACATTTAGCACATTAGAAAGAAGGGGAATAGGTTAGTTCAAAGAATACAATTTAAGTTGTACGTATATATGTATATATGTACATGCATTTACACATTATATATTTATCATATTAGAAGGAAGGGGAATAGGTTAGTCCAAAGAATACAATTTAAGTTGTATGTATGTATGTATATATATACATGCATTTATACATTATACATTTAGCACATTAAAAGGAAGGGGAAAAAGGTAAGTCCAAAGAATACAATTTAAGTTGTACTTATATATGTGTATATATATATATATACATTTACACATTATACATTTAGTATATTAGAAAGAAGGGGAAAAAGGTTAGTCCAAAGAATACAATTTAAGTTGTACTTATATATGTATATATATATACACATTTATACATTATACATTTAGCATATTAGAAGGAAGGGGAATAGGTTAGTCTAAAGAATATAATTTAAGTTGTACGTATATATGTATATATATACATGCATTTACACATTATACATTTAGCACATTAGAAGGAAGGGAAAAAAGGTTAGTCCAAAGAATACAATTTAAGTTGTACTTATATTTGTATATATATATATATATATATTTACACAACATATATTTAGCATATTAGAAGGAAGGGGAAAAAAGGTTAGTCCAAAGAATACAATTTAAGTTGTACGTATATATGTATAGATATACATGCATTTACACATTATACATTTAGCATATTAGGAAGGAGA